GGGACCATGGTTGGTGGGTGCTCCCTCTCGGTTCATGTCTCGACCCTCAGTCCAAAAAACCACGACAGCCAGCTATCTTAATTTAACACAAAAAAATAGCAAATGACTGATTAGGATCTGATTCCTTCAGGTTCTAACCTTTGAATAACCTCACAGATCTTATTAAAGGTTTTCATGGGGCTTATTGTTTCAGCAAACCTCTTTAAAGAGGGCTGATTCTTTAAGAGCTCAGCAACTCGGCCAAGAAGGAAAGCAAGAACAGGCCAATGTGTTATCATGAGCTGTGTATCCAGAATTGTCTTCGGATAAGAGATCTGCACTCTGCAAAAAGTCAGAGGCACAAACACCCTGACACTTGTGAAAGGTCCCTGATCATAAGCCAGAGACACCTCACCTTTCATACGGATCCAACTCGTACGGATCTCCAAACACAGAGAGAGAAGCTGCACCAATATCCGCTCTCATCAGACCGAGCGAGGGCTCCGTCGGTTTGTACACGGAAGGAATCAAGGTCCCACGCACAGGTTTACCAAGACCAAGAGTTCTTGCAATACGGTAGCGAGTCGTAACCTCGTTTTTCACCTGCACAGATAAAGAGACTGGGTTATTTGTATGTTAGGGCAGGTACGTATTCTGGGTTTGAAGCCCCAGATTCTTCACTGAAGCTAAGTACAGTCATCAGGTTAGGACTGTCGGTAGCAGAAGTGGCGTGCATTTATTGCCTGTATTTGTTTTAAAGCATTTATTAAACTTCTAACTATGGCCTATGTGTCACTTCATACAGAGACTGCACATATCAGATGCAAGTTAACAGATAAGTTTCTAAAAATCTTTAGCAATGCCATTCAAAACTGTCAATTCCTTATTAAAGGCTGGAGGGACAGTTCTGGCTGTGGGACGTAAACTCTAGATAAGGTAGCTGAGGACAAAAGTCAAGCTGGTGCAGAGTATTCAGTATAGCTGATGTGAGAACACTATCCACAACTGAAAGGGATTTTGAGAGCCCTTACGGCTGATGAGCTGGGTGTGCAACAACACGGACACAAACATCCACAGCCTATTACAAAGGATAGGTGGTAGCAATTGTAACTGAGCTTGCACCAGTGCTAAGTAAACACTACAGCTGAATGGCAAGGCATAACACAAAGCCTGCAGGACATGCTTTACAGCGTGATCCCTGCAGTTCAGGCAACGGGATTTGTCAGCAAGCCCAGCAGGCCTGCCTGGAAGTTGCAGTTCATTCCCACATACAGTGTCTTTCTGGAGTACACTGGGCATCCTGCACATACTCCCACCATAAAAAAAAAGTTATCTGCTATCATTACAAGACAGTATTTTTTCCATTGAATCCCATGTTATAGTGCGTTTACAGTGGGCTGAAAAATGGCAGATACTGATATTGGCAGAAACTCACATGCAATCTTACTCTACTCTTTTTCCCCCTTCTCTTCTTTATATGACGCTTGCGTCTCTTCAGCTGTGTCCCTGAACTCTTCTTCCCAGCAGAAGATTTTGTCTGAGTTCGTTTTTTGCCTCCTACTTTCTTCCTCCTACCTGATGGGACAAAAGACAATCAAGCACTGGCACTGCATTTTACCCTGCACCCCCCTTTTCATTCCCCCATGGCACATAAAGCATCTCAAAGAGGCCTACACGGCATGGTGCAACAGTATAAAACAGCAGAGCAGAAAAAGTGCAATCATTAGGATTTATTTAAAAGTAACCTTCAAGGCACCTCTGGGCAGAGGCAGTATGGGGAAAGAAGAATGTTCATGTGGTATACATCTATGCAGCTACAGATGTAGCAGCATACAGCTGGTCTAGAGTATTTTGTATGATTCAGGCTTATCTTCCCAAAGCTTTTATTCTTGAAGATGAGAACTACAGAAGGTGTCCGATGCCCTTACCTGTTTTTCTTTTCTGCCTAGTAGGAGTCCGCAGGGTAAGAGGACGCTGGTAGATGGCTGTGTTTAGGCCTGCTACAACTGCCTCAATTGTTTCATCCAGAAGAGAGGACATGAGGTACCTTGGCACATGCTGTGTGGGGGATTAGAAGTTACATGATACTGGTATCTACAGGTCAGCAACAAGTTAGTTTTAAAAGCATTCGACGAAAAATAGATTTGAGATCCAATGAGAAGCAATCATGTCACCAAGCTGTCAGTTAAGCAATTATGTCACCTTTCCCACCTATTGACTGTCATATTAAGAAGAACATGACCTTGCTCTTCAGCCTCCCTCAGTATTACAAGTCACGGCTAGCCTAACTCTGACTCCTTAAATGAGAACAATCCATGAGACTGACACTTCCTCAATGAACTTTCCCAAACCCACCTAACTGACATCTGGCTCACCACGCAGCAAAGTGCAACGACCAAAGACTGAAAAGCCAAAGCAGTACAGGTCCCCTGTCTTAAACTCCTCATTCTTTAGGTCAGATTTACCTAATACTGTGAAACATGTCCAGAGGCAGCATATCAAACACACACCTCAGGGCACTCAAAGAAATGGCAGGTGTGAGTCCCCCAGAGCATCACTTCATTGCGATAAGCAGTGGCTGCTCCTACAAGGTTCAAATTCCTCTTCCTCTCTATACTCAAGGATCAATCGCATTTAAACAAACATATGTGAAGCAGATGGATTCTGGACCACCAGCCTCAGAACGTGAGCTCAAAGCCTCCTTGCCAGGCAAATATAGCACAGGTTTGTTCCTTCCTTTGGTTGGAAAGATGTTAAGAACAGGTTTCTCTCAACAGTTATGTTACGTTGGCCATGCCCACACCAACCATATTCCTAAAATGTCACAGAGTCACAAAATGGTTTGGGTTGGAAGGGACCTTTCAAGATAACCTAGTCCAACCCTTCTGCCATGGGCACGGACATCTTCCCTACCCTCTCTCCTTTCTTCAAGCAACTACAATGCCTCAAGGTTTCACATGAGCACAGCAGATGCAAAGATGCCTCTGATGTTACAGATTATTCACTGTGCTTACTTGCTACCAGAGTATATGCATCAGATCCTTGTACATTTTGTAAAGGTACATGTGGCACAAACACTAGAGAAGAACGGCTTTAGAGCAGCTTGCAATGGCAAAGCAGCTTCAAACTGCAAAATGTTTGAAAATAGAATACACCAACAGAAATAAATGCTTCAGTTCATCTCACTATTGAAGTAATTTCACCAGGCTTCTCTGTTAGTGTCACCAATGCATGCTCCAAACTATTTTCCTGAGCTATTTTTATTAGAATGCCATTGTTTTAAGTATCATGGGTGCCAATAAATACTACATAAGGTTCTCTGATATGGAAGAGAACAGGACGGAGAAAGGAAAGCCCCAAACATTAGCCTAAACATTATTTATTTTTCTAGAAGGACCTAAAATAGTGCACTATCTAATTAACCACCAGTAGTTTAGGCACCTACAGAACAACAGATGAATTACAAAACAAACTACCTCCCTGAACACTAAAGGTTTCCAAGGATCCAGAATCAGCACCTCTCTATGCTTCGAGGACAACAGCTTACACACTCCTTAACCAGTGGAATTAAGCTTCTGTCAACTCAAACTACAAGCTATAATAGGACGCACTTTCGTTCAGAAACAAAGGAAATAAATAATAGTGCCTTTCTAGGTATAGTTTGTAATAATCTCCACAGATTGAGAAGTGGAGCTAGGAATGGCTTCTTGAATGGGAAGTATTGGGCTCCCAGGCTTACACTACTATGCAACAATGAAGTCCCCAGGTACCACCCCTCTCATCTG